TAAACATTTACCGGATACCCGTATTTCCATTTCACGGTACTCAATTCTTATTGCATTGGACTGGATACGTAGATTTTTAGGACACTATAAAAAAAAAAACTTCGTAAACTCTTTTTTTCTCTCTCTCTCTCTCTCTCTCTCTCTCTCTGTCTATTTCTCTCATCAAACTTATCCGCAATTGGAAAGTTAGAAGAGGAGGGCCTTTTTGGCTTTTGATTTTTCACCATTTAATATCCAAGCATTTTCGAATAAAACTACTTTTTAGTACTTGTTCCATACCAACCAACCTATCCACCTACTTCTAACCTCGAGCATGTTCTTTGATCGTTAACGCAATTACCACTCGGCTGAAACATTCATGATGACGTCTTTCTGTACCTCTCTTATCTCGTAGAAAAACTTCCCTCAAAGAAGACACACACGTTCATTCACTGTCTTTCATTCTCTCTCTCTCTCTCTTTCTCAAATATATTCCCCCTCTTTTATATCATTATAAATCTTTTAATCTTTTCCACGCTTTTTCTTCTTTTTTTTTTTTTTAAAACATTAAATAATCATTCAAATGTCTAATTAGAAGAAGAAGAAGAAGAAGAAGAAGAAGAAAAATAAAATAGAAAATAATAATAAAATACATTTTCATTTCACAATCGATCCATCCTTCTTATTTAATTATATATATATATATATATATATATATATATATATTTTTTTTTTTTTTTTTTTTTTTAATAATACGTATCAAATAGAAATCACGTTAGATTATTCGCTATCATCTTTCTTAACAAATTGGAACGAGGCTCTTACGGGTACGTAAAGCGGCTATCGATTTCCATAATTAATTTCCCGATGCCGTGGATATAGTTAATCCTGGCTGTACAGCAACTCTCATTCCCTCATTCTCTTTCTTTCTTTTTTTATTTTCATCTCTCTCTCACTCTCTCACTCTCTCTCTCTCTCTCTCTCTCTTTCTATCTCTCTCTCTCTCTCTCAGTTTCCGTTCGATGGTCGAGACGCGGGCGAGTAATGAAATGCACCCTTCCTCCTCCTTTTGCCTCTGTTTAGGCGACATTATTATTCCTCGGGCCGACGACGAGAACCGCCGGCGGCACTGCCAACTGGGAGTCAAAGTATTCTCAACTTGCTAGCTTGCTACCGAGTACGTACGAGCGGCTTACGTATCGTCGAACAGGGAATTAAGTACATAGTACGTTACCTTTAGTTCGTCCTTGTCCCTACAACACGAGTATATACACTTTCTTATCGAATTAAATTTTAACGCTCACTCTTCTTTTTCCAACCCCCCCTCATCTCTTACTCTCTTTCTCTCTTTATGTGTGTGTATTTTTTTGCTTCTTATTCACTCTCTTTCGTTTCTCTTTGAGGAACGGAGTCGTAATTGAAAACGGGTCAGGCACGTTTTACACGTCCTATCCAACGACTACTACTACTACTATTACTACTACTACTGCACACCTACCTACCTACCTACCTACATACCTACCTACCTATCTTGACGTTAACGTCAACGTAGTTTGAGTTTTTCGTCACAGTGCAACCCAACGCACTGTGTTTAACAACATCCAACCCGTCAACGTTTAAGCTCACTTTGAACTTTTACATAGCCAAGCCACTTCTTCTTCTTCTTCTGCCATTTATTTTCATATGCCTCTTTAATGACACCGTTAGTCTCTTTTTTCTATTTTTTCTATTTTTTCTATTTTTTTCTTTTTTTTTATTCTTCTTAAAAGTGAAACGTCAAAACGGTTCTCTCTCCTTGGTAGGAGTGTAAAAAAAAAAAACAAAAATGAATATACGTATTAACAAATTCTCCCAATCTTCATCAATCCTCTAAACAGTCATCATTGAATTGCAAAAAAAAAAGATAATTTTTTAATATACTTACATTTGATATTTTTTAAAATAAATATTATTACATATAGTGTGTTTGATAACGATTGAAAAATGAAATTTCCCTACGCCGATGAAATTTCTCATTTCTCGGTTGTTTTAATTATTTCGTGGGGATTTAAATCGTCTAACTTTTTCGTGAGAGTTCTCCCTTGAGAGTAGAAGAAGAAGAAGTAGAAGAAGAAGAGAGGAAAAATAAAAGAAAGGGTGAGAGAATGAGAGAGAGAGAGAGAGGGGTTTTGATAAATGAAGATGAGATGCCTGCAGAGATGCATTGAGCATCATCGATCAAAGACCACTGGATGCTTCGTTAATCCTCTCCTAGTGCAATTTCCGTTCGACCAAATCGTCCTCCTCCATGATTTTATTCATTCCAAACTAGGTAGTTGTACGTGTCGAATGGTTTGTAAGAGGGGTTCACCCATTGACCATCATTTCATTTTCACAGAAACGTTTTTTTTTTCAATTTTATTGATTACTATTATATTACGTCAATTTTTATATTCGTCATATTCAAAAAGATTAATCCTTTGAATTTGTTTACAATATTTCTATATATATATATTATAAATATAATATTATACGTAAAAAAAATAATATATAAGAAATACTTACAAATAAATCGGAATATAATGCTTACAGATAATTTCATATTTTTCTTATAAAAAGAAACAAAATCCAATCACATTCCGTTTCCCTACAAAAAATTTTTCCAATCAACTAATATTCACATCTATTTACGGAAAATTAACTTTCCAAATAATCGGTTTTAATGTTCTCGGAAAATCGTCAAATTTATCCACACAGTGGTGCAACTCGTTCGGGAGACACAAACTTGCAATTAGATGAGCGGAACATTATCTTGTCGAGTTGTTCGAACAATTCGCATTTGTTAACTATATATATATATATACACGTATTCCCATATATATGCCCCCTACTTATCTCTCCACCATACCCAAACACACACCTACACATACACAATCCTATACTATATATACTATTGTCGAATGAACGAATAGCAAGAGGCAATCTGAGAGACAAGACGATTACTTATTCCCCCTCCCTCCCTCCCTCCCTCCCATTTTCCCCGTCTGTCTGTCTGTCTGTCTGTCTCTCCCATCACCTTCTACCATTCCTCTAATTCATACTAGTAGCGTGTCCGTGGATTTGAGTTAATTCGACGAAATCGCGTGACGAAGAAGAAGAAGAAGAAGAAGAAGAAACAGGACTTCCTAAACTAACGAAACACACAACAAGGTTAACCTTATCCCGTTCAATTTTCGGACCACTTATTACAAAGGGAAGAGAGAATAAGAGAAAGAGAAAGAGAAGGATGAAACGTTCCTAGATTCTCATAATATATCGTCGTCGTCTCTCGGTAACTGCGGAAATATGCATTTACGAAGGGTAGTGAGAAGAAGGGGT